GTCGGTGTAATCACACAATGGTGTGGCTACACCGTAACAAGAAGCCACTACGTGGCAGAACTATGCAAGTTTATAAGGTATTACTATAATAATCAAAAAAGCCTAAGGTTCTAGGTATAGGCGGCTCTGCCACAAATATAACATTTAAATACAGTCTTAATTTTGAACGGTAGAGCGTCTTTGCCTTGGTTAAGGGTTTTAAGTACTTTTGGAGGTAGCGGATTGCAATTCGCTACACTCGTACTGGTTCTGGTACAGAACCTAAGGTCGGTGACTTTAGTAAGCTTCCTTTAAGCAAAGAGTTACGACAGCCCTGCTGCATTTATCGACAATCCCAGTTGGATACGTACTCTGTAGGACGCATAGCACCCGAATAGCTACGTATCAATGTTGCAGCGTGAAGTTCTCCGGTAGACATGGCAGCTGTGTATTCACATACGTAACAACCGGTCGAGTCCATGTAGTTATGTACAGCACGCATCCAATCAAGGATTGATAGGGCTTCAAGCACATTGCCACTCGACCCTCTTCCGTGGTCGTTGGCGGCTTTGGCGACATCAACTCCAATCGTGATGCGCACGGGCTGTCGACACGTCTAGAATCTTGTTGACCGAATCGTCTGACCAAGTCGTCTATATAGCAAGTCTTCCAGATCAAAAGTGTTTTGGCTGACCTGTCGTGATCAATATCCATGCCCAAGATAAACTCCACCCTGCCCAGCTCTATCTCATGAATGCACTGTTGAGCTTCCCTTTGACCTGATTCATCTCTCTGCGATGATCATGTCATCCACATATAGCCCAGCGCAGAGAAAATCAGCAAGAGATCGCTTGACATGAACGCGCTGGCCCCCTCCGTAGCCCTGACAGCCTTTTCTCACAATGACACAATTTATTGTTTGTTTTAGTCTTTTGCCGCTTGTTCCAACTCGTAGATAGCCTTTTTCAGTTTGACAAACGTATCTCTGAGTTTTGCTGATACCCAGCGGGAGTTCCATATTAGCGGTATCTGTCAGCATACCGTTAAAAATACGTATCGACATCCAGTTATTCCATTTAATAGTCGTATTCGGCACACCTGCAAATATCATCCAAACTGAAATTATGCTGGCGACCGGGGGTATAAGTGTCGAAGCTCTCGATTCATACCTCTGCTTGATATTTCTAGCAATAAGTCGTGCCTCGTATCGCACAATGAAGCCAATTTGGTGACGCTTATTGGCAAAAAACCAATTGTGCGATTGTTTGGCTTTAATGTCTCATGTTTGATTCTGCGACGCTCAGCATCAATAGCTTCACACCACTTTGCTGCATCATCGCCATTAGATGAGTTTATCTTCATCGATCGTAGCACATTTTGGTATCTGTGGACCTTGACTCTTTTTTGTCGCCAATTCAGCATTCAAAACGTCCCGTAGCATCAGCATCGTCTCATGTTTACGACTGTTTTGGTCCAGTTGGAATCATATCACAAAACGATCTACTTGACACGCATGAAAAGATGGACGATACTCTGCTCGCCTAACCGGTATTCAACAGTGCAATAAACGATATCAGCTGCTATACGCTGTCACTTGATAAACAATCAGCATTGGCCTTGTGGATGTCTTCAACTGATTCTTCAACAGATCCGATGGACTTAACTCGAACTGGCTGTCGAACCGTTAGGTTTTGAACATAGCCATCATTAATGTCCTTTATAACTTCGGCCGTCGCTTCTGACTGTAGCTTATGCGTGTCGTAAATACCGCCAGTTCACGCTCATCAAACCTCGCAGGGCGGGTCACTTTAATCTTGGTATTCTTCAGACGAACGATTACCCATGACATTTCCCGCATAACCGAGAAAATGCAGTCGAAGCTATTGGGCTCAAAACCTGTTCTCTTTGCATAGTCAACATGAGTGCAATCCTGCGACTCTAACACGCGTGGTGATTCACTTAAAATTTCATCTTGAGAGCAAATTCATATGGCATGATGTCGGATGGCTGCATTCGTCGAGAAATGATTCAAATATACTGCTGTGTCCACTGCTTACGATTTTGCAGAAGAGCATACTGCGGGCATTTCTCATGATAGTTTTGTTCATGCGCTCACGCACCGTCACCCCACTTTGCTGCGGGCTACATGGAATGAAACGCTGGCTGACGAATCGCTCCAACACACGTCTACCATCGCTTTTTTAAACAGAAAATCCACATTGGATCCATGCTATCTATGTGCACCCGCTCCAGATCACGTGTCGTTTTTGTGATGAAGCATGAGAAAAATGCCGTAATCCTGCAAACACACGGCACACAATTTAATCTTCTCTTGCTTGATCATCGGATGCCTTTGGTCGACCGCCGTGTCTCGAGTAAAGCATCCTTATTCGGGCGTCCCATTAGAGCATGCCAAAGCTTCCACTGAGTATTAGCCCTCGAAAACCTCACGTAACATACTTTCCCTACTTATAGTCGAACATGCGCGCATTAGTGATTCTTGAACCCGATACAATTACCTTCTCTTTGTTCTTGATGACAAATGACGAACGCTAATATTTTACCCTCAGACCGCGCCCAGCAAGCTTGTTAACAGACAACAATCTTCTTCCAAGTCCTGGGATATATAAAGCAGCAATCACGCAAAACTCCATTCTATCCAAACCCGTCATTTTCACGTTAGAAGCTCCTTTGACGAGAAACTTATTGCCATTTACAAATTTTACTCCAATGTTTGTCTCAAGGTCCACGTATTCGAGTGGGATCTTCTCTGTGCGGGGTCATGTGGGACGTGTCGCTTCTGTCGATAAGCCACCCTGCTTACCGTCATTTACAATTACCTCGTTATCACTGCTGACACATTTTCTGACCGGACATTTACGCTTTTAATGACCAACATGCCCACAATTAAAATACTTGCCCTTATACCCGCCGTTATTGCGCTGAGCCCAACGTTACCTCGTCCAACTTAAGTTTTCAGTATATCCATTTACGCGGGACGCTTTACGCGTTGCCATCTTTCTGTGCAGCTACTCTGATATCTTGACCAGCTTCTCCATGACGACATCCAATGAGATGTCATTTGCAGTTTCTACAATCAATGAAACAAATCATTTTCGTGGTCAGACTACTGAGGGAAATCATCAGCTGGCGAGACTCGTCAACTGGCAATCCTTTTGTTTGGAGTCCACAGCTAATTCGTCAGAATACTCTAGATGTTCTACCATGCTAAAAGTACTTTTCATCTTGAAGTCGTCAAGTCGTTGCGTCATCGTCACACGATTGTGCAGTGTCGACCGATTGTAGAGAGCATGTAGCATTCGCCGTGCCTGTAGTGCACTCGTGGCCGAATTAATTTTGGTCAACTCCTTGCTCAATGATACCCAATGCCTTTGTGTCGCTCATAAGCTACGTCTCTGTGACATCGTTCTAATCCTTAACGGCCATGACAGGCCTCTGAAGGCCTTTCCTCGCCATAGTCATTCTCATATTAGACTACCAGTGGTATAAATTCCACAGGAGGACTTCGGTCCGTTTGTTTGCCATTGTGATTACGTACGTTATAGTGGAGAAAGGCCTAGTTGCGGCTGTTAACCTGCTGATTTGGTGGTAAAACTTGAAGTTAAAAGTTATTATGTTCCTATTGCCATATCCATACTAAATTATTCTGCTATAGTAAGTTACAGTCTGGTAAGTAAATCATCAAAAAGGGCGATGAAACTTAACAGCAAACCTTAAACATCGTATGAGAGTTTGTTGGGTAATCTGAAACCTAATATGAAGTAGACTTAATAATTACGCTATTCTGCGCTCGTTTTCTGTACGAACACATGTAAGACTGATGCATGTAAATACAAACCAAATAGCAATATCCTTAATTAACAGTAGTAAGCGGCGTCATCTTGACAGGTTTCTCATTATTGATCCTCTTCGCCGCATTGGTGAGACTACTCTTCAGCACGACGACCTTTGCTTCCTCTAACCAGAAGAAGCTGCTACTTGAAAAGCATCTCTTCAATACAAACTCCGGTATTTTCATGAAATGGTCGTATGCTTAGCTGCATCCGGCACTCACAAGCCCACCGCAGACATTGGCAAGCGATAGACAAGCGGTGTGTCAGCAGTTAAGGATGAGACATCTCTACGTACTCTTCAGCGTTACCAAACCTATAGTGCTGCTGCTTCACACAAACTTTGTATCGAAGATTATTTTCAGGGCGACGTCTGATCTAACGCATACATCTTCTTTACCTTTTTATGACAAGTATCATCCCCTTTCTGATCTTCTTGTAACGCTCAAACTTAATCCACATGGGGATGTCTTTTGTCTTGCTTGATCATTGCCCCTTCGTAGCCGTGATATGTCAAGCATTTTATCTAGCGCTTGGAAGCAGCGATTTAACCAAGTTAACGTCTTGATAACAAAGAACTGACGTTACCGCAAAGAAAGTCTCAATTCAAACTTTGCAAAATCATGCGGCGCTAAAAGGATCAGTGGATTACTGCGAATGCCACTATTGTCATGCTCTGAAATTAGGGATTTAACTATCAAAGATACTGCCAAATTTAACAGCAATGAAATCAAAGTTAGCTACAAGTCGAAGGAAAAAAAGAAAGAATTGGAGCGTTCCGTTCATATGGCTCATTAAAGTTTTTACTTATTGCAGCGTATAGTAATTAAAATGATAGTTCGAACAGTGTGACAGAACTCATACCTTCCCTGACAATGGAATTATAAGCGCACAAAATACCTCAGTCTTCTCACGTTTATTTTGAAAGAGGAATTTCTTGGCCAGTCAATAAAGCTAGCGCCGTGTCCGAGACTGAGATAGGTGTTATGACTGTTTCGCAAGACAGCGCTACATCGGGGTTCAACGACGGCGGAGTGATGGTGACCGGACTGTTTAGGTAGTCGACGGTAATATCCATGTCACTTCCATAAGCGGTAAAGCCATTTGATCCTGACGAGCAAATGACAAAAGTCGCATCGCTGAGGGTAACCTGAAACATAATTCCGCTGGCACAAGTGATTGTGTCATTTCCCACAACGGCATTCGAGACCGCAGTGGCGTTATTGAGTGCCGAGATGATATCGTTAAAAGGCGGTAGCAGGGTTGAATCAAGACAGTCTGCAATAGAGTCGCTTGTGCTACCCACAGTGGACGTAACGACATAGGCGATACCATTCGCTAGTATGTACGTGTATTCACCGGTGCCGTCTGTGAGTCTAGCGTAGCCGTCGTAGATCACCGAGGTGTTGTCTGACGACACGACTGGGTTGGCGAAGACATAGAACTGAGATTGTCCGTAAAGATTCATAGACGACCGCTTGACCGTAAATAGAAGCCGCAAGGATGGTGCGTCTGCGAGTGTTGTAGCCAGTCGGCGTTGGGCAGTCGCATTTTTTTCGGTTGCCAACGCAGCTATGGTGCAAGCAGCAAGAGCGAGCAGCACAAACTTGGCAAACGCATTGTTTTGATACGAAGACGTGGGGGCCCTCATGATGGAAGTTGATTGATGATTTGGTGGTGAGGCTTGGTGCTTGTTGATTGATACGAAGATAATTGAAAAGTGAGAAATCAAACTTTTTGATATAAATGCGTTGGGCATTTACAAAATCGACTTTGTAGATGTCGTTCAACCAAATTTAAGCGGAATCTCTATCGAAAATAAACAGTAACCAAATTCATTTGTGATCTGCACAGCCGGGAGATATCCTGTTTTCTTGGCTGCTAAAACATGTACAAGTGATAGCTATCGTAGTATTGTGGGCATTATCGCCACGTTGCATATCTTATTTACTTGACATGCTTCATTAGTCTGCATTTAATAGCAAAAACTATTGATTTGGTAAAATTAAAATATACACAGCTGGAAGATACCTCACGTTTCATCAGAAGGGACTCTTGTCTTAATGATGGCATTGCTGTATACCACTCGCTCCAATGTGGTGTCTGTAGTAGATGGTAAAAAGATGCGAATGTAAACGCTTGAATTGATGATTTGTAGAAATGTTTTTCAGGTATCCCTGACAGCGTTGCTGCTACAGGATTCAAGATATCAAAATGTACGGATGTCTGATATCCTAAAAAAATACCAGTATGAGAAAACTGTGGCTAAAAACATCAACGACTGGGTAAGCCCATCGCGAAACTCGTTCCATAGCATCGAGAATACGCACTATACGACACTGCTGATAGCAGATACATCTATCATTTTCGTTGTGTTAAAGGCATGTGCTGCATTTAGAGTACTTGCCATGTACGGCTTCGATGCACGTCGTTGAGCACGTCAGGGCAGCTTGCCACAGCAGACGTTAATTGATACAGTGAAGCAGCTACTGATATTCGGAAAAGAAACGACGGCAAAAGTGCTGTCGAATAATATTGAAGCTGGTTCTGACAGGAAGGTTCAACAATGATGAAGCGTAAATTCAAGAGCTGACAAGCTGTTCGTAGCGTCCGTCTATCTTATGACTGCACTTTGTGCTCACGTAGCCATGCCAGCATATATCTAAAGCATTCGCGCGCTTATCTTGGACACAAGTGCTGGTAATAGGCTACATCTTGCCGTACTACTAGGCGTACCTCACGCCAAGGGGGACTTGAGCGTTTAAGACGTTCATGCATAACCTTAATATAAATTAGAGAACGGGCCGTCTAGCTTTGGGGGTGGAGACAATGAGTCGGGACTGAGTGAGGCACAATCGTACGCTCAACAGTTCTTGGCCATATTGACCTCATCCTCCTTGACACACTCAGATAAATTGCTCAAGTATACAGTTTAGGAGCGCTAGTTGGAGGAGTTCAAGCTCACGCTAGAGGCGTGTTTGCTGCGGGACAAAGGATTCACGTATTAGTGTTATAGTGTACATATACATACCTCCGTAAATGGAATAGAATCAAAGAACAATAACTCCACCAATTTTATTAGGTATAGATCTTAAAATTGCATAAAATGGTAAAAAATACCAA